AGGTCATCGACTTGATAATGACTTGTGATAGAGATGCAATAAAGTCAGTCGATTCTCTTCCGATTCACGCGAATCTGAAGAATCGGGCGACGTCTGCGGACAGTACGATTCGAATTAACTTCTGCGCGAAATATCTAAACGTACGATCAGCAGAGGCCATATATGTTACAAATCACCTGTAAAGAGTGACGTCCGCGCCTGCCGCAAATCAAAAGGACGTCAACCTCCACTCACTGAAGTCTATCTACACACGCATGATAAATTAAATAAATACAGGAATTGTTCTTCGCTTAAAGGGAGGTATCACGATCACCAAGGACACCGATCGGAGTTCTCGTATCATTTCCGAGCTAAGAACGGGGAGGAACATTCCAGGTGGTTGCATGAAGATAAATTGGCGTATTGCTAGCGGAGAGAGAGAGAGAGAGAGAGAGAGAGAGAGAGAGAGAGAGAGAGAGAGAGAGAGAGAGAGAACGTCGACTTAAAATATTCAATTTTTTACCAATAAAATTTAATACTTGGTATTTCATAAAATATATTCTCACATTATATATGTACTTGAGTTTAAATTTTACACGTATTTTATACAAACGCGTAAATTACATCAACCATCGTACATTTCACGTTTTTGCGAAAAAAAATCAAGTAAACCGTGACTTTTCAAATTTGCAGCGTTCGTCTCAATACTATCTACGTAAGAATGACGAAATAAATTGAATTTCACCTAATCGTCGATTCATTCATATAAAAATCTCAGCTCAATTATTAGCAATATGTCAATTTATTCATACAACAAGAGATGAAGAGATGACCGAATAGAATAATAGTTTTCTCCTTTTACGCGCTAAAGGAATGCATGCTCGACGACGAGGTATTGCACGAAGCATTCGAAAATAAGGAACCACAAACACTCTGACGAACATCATTAAGGTCTTGCTTCCGTCCCACGTCGACGACAGGACGAAATCGAGAAGGGGCGCCTTCAATCCGCGCCCGTATTTTTGTACATTAAAAATCGTATACGTTCGTAGTGATACATCGACAATTGCCTATCTGTGTTACTCCATATTTATCGTTTAGGTTTACCTAGGTCTACCGTAAATTCGTAACTAGAATAGTCGACTTTTCGCAGCCGTGCTCGCAATCTACCACCGGTACCGCTTTGAAATATCCTTGCGCGGACCAATGTCGCCGTCAGAAAAAAATGAACGGCCATCCCGAAATATATCACAATGTCCATGTATACTCATGTTCGATCGTAATGTTGACGTCATCATACTTATTACATTATTATTGTTATTGTTAATATTATTATTATTATTATCGTTGTATAATAATCATTATTACTATAATTATTGTTATTATTATTATTGTTATTATTGTTATTAGACGTATACTTTATTTACAAAACTTACGCTTCGGTGACAACAACGGAACAATATGTACTTATAGTGCGCCATAAAATTCTTCAAGAAAGTAATACACGAATGCATGCTAAACCGCATTCATCATCGGAACGTTTACACCCAGAAAACGAATGATGTGTCCTACTATTACATTTTGAATTTATTAAAGGAAGCGAAAGAAAATTGTTCAACGTAAAAGTAATTATTTTATTACATTTCTTACGTCCGTCTCTGTACACGAAGATCACGTACGATCTCCGTTTCGAAACGTAAAGTCGACACAAGAAAGACTAGCTTTTCGTTGCGCGTATTAACATACACAGCTCTTTGTTTCGCATCAGAATCATTGAGTCGCTTTGTCTCTCATCATTTTAGCATGAAAAATCCGGAATAAATTGGTATGCAATTTTGTAACTATAAAATGTCAGTAAATTTTATATGAGTTTTCAATGAGTTATTAACGCGCGATAAAAAAATTCATCATTTTTAAATCATTTTAAAAGCAGCTCCTATCTTTGCCGTCGTATGGAAGATAAAAAATTATTTTTCCAGACATTCTTTCTCGATTGTTTCTACGTGGACAAACACGCGATGCAAGGATCCTAATCGCGACTCTTGGAAACCGGTTCTTCGGACCAACTCTGTCGTTCGAATAAAAATGTAAACACCAAAATTTTATTTCGTTTTTTTTTTTTTATACCGTTTTTTAAATACCGTTTTTGAAACAGAAAAACTACAAACCTCTGCGTGCACAGGGTGTTTACGTGAAGTAATCGGATCCCTAAATCGCATTGAACAGTATTCAATCTGAAGACTCTAAATGTTCTTAGATCAATCTGGATTATAATCCGTGCTATCTATGAAACTCGGATTTCGGACTATTATCGTCGCGCGTGTTTCTCCTGAAAAGTTAAGGTTAAGTTAATATTTCCAGTGAGCTCACTGAATATTTCCGAAATTTCAAAATATTTTTGTGGCATTTATTGCGACTCTTCTTTACGTCCGGCTGTTGTAGATTTTGTAAGTCTATCCGGAGAGGGTCGATTGTATAATAATTTTTTTAATAATAATTTTTATAATTGTATAATATTTTACAATTGTATAATATTTATATATATATGTTATATATATAAATAAAAAATATAAATATAAATATTATAAAAATTATATAAATATTGTAAACACTAAAATTATAAAAAAATTATATACAAAATATATTAATCCCCCCTCTCCGAGTAAATTTACCAAATCCGCAGAAACAGCACATAGAGCACGTACACAGAAGGAAAAATATTTTATTAATATATATTAATTTAATCTTTTAGTTAGGAGAAACACGCGTGACGATGCGCGACAATAGTAGTCCGAAATCCGAGTTTCTCATAGAAAGCACGGATTATAATCCAGATTGGTCTAGGAACATTTAAAGTCTTCAGATTGAATACCACTGCTCAATCCGATTTAGAGATCCAATTACTTCATGTAAACACCCACAGTCTCAGAAACAATTGCGACGCGTTGCAGGTTAAAACGGCCTGCAAACAAGAGCGGTCGACTGCTCCGTCGCAGTTGCGAGCAATGGTAATTGCGGTAATGATACAATAATAATATACCCTATCACGTCAATATTTTTACTATATTTACACAATGTCGTATATATGTAATACTAAGATAACTTGTCGTATACATCTCATTGCACCTCGCCACGCCTTCCGCTTTGACCTCCATGACTCGAAAATACAATGTGCATTTTTTTTCCCTCTGCGTTTCACCGTTTCGTGTAGGAAGTGCCCCCAATCCCCCGTGGGAGAAGAAATAGGTGTAAATAAGAATTACGTGACGGAAACCCACGCCCTAATCAGTTTGTCACACTCATCGGAACGCAGTTAAATAATTTACAATTAGCGAGGCCTTAATCTCATCGACGTTTCTTTAGCGCGAGCGCAGACACTCGAAATGCCTCTAACGAGGGCAAAACGACCGGGGTTTAACGACTGCGTTATTGCCGCGGCAAATCGCCCTCGCGCAGTTACGATATAATCGAATCGAATTACTTCAGCGATTTCACATTCGGGAGAAGATAAATTACAGATACATTACACATGGAGCCAATCGAACGTCCGACTTGGGCGTAATTATATTAATATATGCGTGAAAGCCACTCGATTTCTTTTACCAGCGCACAGCGCTAACCCAAGAGTTGGTTTGCGGAGTAGTCGTTTGCATTGGTTTACGGAAATTTTCTCCTTTCAAGACTCTTCGTGTCACAAAATTCATTTAATCTGCACAAATCACAATTCGTTCCTTCCTTTATCGACAGCTCGGTGTGATTACTCGGACAGAGCGTGTTCCATCGCTCGTAAAAACGGCTCATATACTATGACGGATCATATTTTAATCATTGACATTCGGAAATACTTGGACTCATAATAATTGCAGCGGATATATAATAACCAAAATGCTTGAATTTTATAATGAAATCGGTCCTCCAAAAAACATCGGTCATTGCTGTTATTAAATATTTAGAGCTGTCATGATTAGGATAAATTTTTAACGATACTGAGCAAAATCCCATTTTCATTTTACTGAATAATTCTTCGCCGACCTCCATGAAACGTTAAAGATCCATTTAGAAATAAAACTCTTAGCTCTTCGCGAATTGTTTGAATAGAAAATCTCACTAATATCAATGATTTGCGCAGCTAAAGGGTGGTTTACGCCAATGATTCAGTTTTCTCCGCAAAATATCAAATAACGCTTACGCCTGTTGCTATTTGAGACGTATTTGACTAGACACTATATGTCGGAAATATTTACCCGTTAATTCCCAATGAGGAAATCTCGAACGTGCAATTTTAATTGCTACAACTCCGTCATATACATCAATTCTTCTTTACAGTTATGGCATCAAGTCGATGGTTGACCCGGTATTAGCATCAGTAGGACACATTTGCAGAAATTGTAATCTACGTTATGTGTCACAATGGTCCTGGGAAGGCTATGATAATGAGAATCTATATTGCGCAAGTTGTCCCTGTCGATAATGCCAGCAATTTCGATCCTCTACCCTGATTTTACCCTCAGCGCTAATTTATAGAAGAGTACTCCTTTCGTGGATTTTTCACACAACTATGATATTCGTTCCTTGTGAAAAAAAAAAGATAATATATAGAAACACTGCGCGCTGCATTGAATGTTTATAATCGCCGAATTATTACCGCTCCGTTAAATTTACTTCAGTCAAAACATCCGAAATTACCTAACCGTTCTAATTTCGTCATTATTTCCTATACCTTCTTAACTTTATGTTAAATTTAAAAGGATGAACGATTTTGGACCTCCATCGAATTTAGAATTTAGATCGTTCCAATATCGTCGATCTTGACCTCGCCACATTTTCCTGATGTTAAATTTGATGATAGTCAACTAGTTAAATCTCTTCGATCGCGCTCTCGCTCTTCTGCAGAATCAAACGCAGTCGATCTCGCGATTGCCGTCGACAGAACAGAGAGGAGTACTCGTTCCATGGATTATGGTAAGCTTCTACCGGCCGGCAGTTTTTCCTTCGTGGAAACCGAACGTCGAAGAGACGGTTCAGACGACGCCTTGATAAACAGGACTGTACTCCATGTCGTGGGTATACTGAGGTGGTCCTGGCGGCGGAGGCTGCGGACTGTACTGTTGCGAGGCGTCCGAGGCGCGACGCCTGAGCGCCGCGATGCTGTGGGCGCCTCTCCAGTCCGATCCCTCGTTCGTGCTCACGTCAGCCACGCAGGAAACGCCGCCACCTCCGGTACCGCCGCTGCCGCTACCGGTACCGGAAGTCGTGCCCGGAGAGCCCTGACCGCAGTTCAAACCCGAGCCCATCCCGGCTTGACCGCCACCCACCGACGAACCTGGTGGCGAGCCTCGAGACGCCGATACGTGAACACCACCTGAATAGAAGTAAAAATCGAATTAGTGTTTCCTTCGTGGACAACTCGTCGGTTATTTATGTTAAATATCATGCAAATTTACCAACAACTTAAACTCGCTTCTAACTCTCAGCTATCAAGTATTTAAAAGCTATTTTAAGAAAAAAGTATTTGGTATTTAATAAAGAAAATAAATATTCGCTTTGAGTACATAATAATGTCTCGTAATAAGTATATTTCAAAGCTATTAAGAAAAAAAGTAACTTTGTTAAAGGTAATCGTTATTTCAAGGAAAAAAGTAAACTGAGTTGTCACTTTTCTTAACAAACTCTAATTTATCTGTTACAATATCATATTTAAAGCTTCAAATATTTTGATTCTCACAGAACCACTCTTTGGGTGGGCGAGTTTCTGTGAAAATCAAAACGTTTAGGACTTTAAATATGAGATTGTAACAAATAAATTGAAATTTGTTACACTAATAACGTGTTTAGCTTGTTCTTTGATGATACTGATTGAAAGTTTTAAGTCTTTGTCCTTTGGAGACTTTATGTAATTTTATATGACAGTAGATTTGATATGAATTTTTTGAAGTATTTGAAACACATTTTAAAGTAACTAAATTTGTGAGAATGTACAGTATGTATTTCTCTGTGTGTATAATTATGTTAAATTATGGTAATTACAGCCATCCTTTGTGACTTTGTAAATATATATGTTTCCCGACAGTTTGTAATAATTGCCGAGCGATAAATATTTTTGGATAAATACTAAGTAACAAAGGACAAATATTTATTATGATACAGTCAATCACAAATCCACTACCGCGGACGAGGCAGTGCATCTCCGAACGGTTCAGGTAGAAGGGAGGCAATTTACAGACGCGGCAGCACAGGTGCGGGAGAGCGAACGTTTCGTTTCTCTCCGCGGAAGATATTAATACGGTAGACTGACAAAGAGCGTGAGGTGCGCTACCGGCCGTCGTAAAGTCGTTTCCGCCTCCTCGCGCGCTACGCTGGTGGGCTCGAAAGACAACGGCGGGGAAAAAGGGCTTTTTTTTTTTATTACGGTGCTACGCCGGGCACAAATTTGCAGAGGACTATGGCAGCGGCCGCTTTTGAAAAGCCATTCGAAAGAATGGACGTCTAATGGCGACGATGTACGTGATTTTATGACTATTGTCGGCTGATGCGGTAGATTCGTGCTGCCGAAGAGCGGTGTCCACCGCGATTCACCGCGCGCAATCAATGAAGTTTGATTCTATATGGATGCACCGAACGAACGACCGAGCCGAAGGCAAATGAAACTAAACGTCCGATACGTACGCAATTTGGCGCGTGTATTTCTATTTTTCAGAGTAAATACAGAGATCATCGGCGTGTATCTCACTAAAATTTGAACTGTTGCACCAGAGTTACCAGCCGATTTTTATTCTCGAATAAGGTATTGCGGCTCGTGCACCGCGAGAGCGGTAGCGCGAGTTGAAAATCGGACGTTTTCAAACCTGATAATTTACGCATTACCGAGATTTGTTTGCGCCAGTCTGGCATGGTTCGCCATGACAGAGATAGAGAGAGAGAGAGAGAGAGAGAGAGAGAGAGAGAGAGAGAGAAAGAGAGAGCCAGCCGCCAAATGGAGCTTCTCCGATCAACTAGGAACCACACCACGCGTTGTTGGCTTACGTTGCGGTGCTAATCATCCTTTGGTAAAATAACGCTCTAGTCTAAAAGCTATTTGCTTTAAGTGTTATCCGCGGATAAAAGCGTGTAGCTCTGCGAGCCGAGACTGCGGACGCAGGTTCACTTTGAAGCCGCGTTCGTTACGCACACCAACGTACTCGTGGGACGCCGATTTTTTTTCTCTTCTCGAGTGATAACGCTTGGTAATTGGCACCATGCAAACGTTACGCCTGTAGTATACACACTCACATATATCGATGTACGCGACTGCACAATCAGCTTGCGAAATTATGTTACGCTGGATTTTTATTGTAAAAGCTTCAGGAGAGTCAAACGTGCGATGCTAAATTTTGCAATCCATGCATCAAGTGTATTTACCAATAATATTGTGTTACAAAGTTTCTTTTTCTCAATGTCTCAATATTTTTTACAATGTAATGGATTTTCTTTCATCGTTTATGCTCAAGTGACATATTCAAATAATAAAACTTTATTTGCAATACTGAATGTCAAAAAATTATATTGAATTACGAGTTTCCTGTTTCCTAAATAATAGTTTACAGGAGTAATGATATATTAGATATTTTTTTTACGAATTTGTGTTATTATATAGGAAAATCAAAGTGGAGTTTCTAAAAATTTTGATAAGTTTGTGAACAGAATTCGTAATCGCGTTTATTAGATCCATTTTCAGAGTTGACGACCTGTATTATAACATAGCAAATACCAATACGAGTAAATCTGTTTAAGCCAATATCCATTTCGTGACGTTGCGGTTTTTTTGCTGAAGAACAAAAAAAAGCGAAAAAGTAAGAAAATATTTCGTGGAACAAAGTGACGAGACTCCTTTTTTTTTTATTATCGGTTTCCTTATTACCCGTATCGCACAAATCCATTATTCCAGACAATTTAAGCGCTGAAGTTTGAAACTTGTCTAAAAAAGATTGCCAGATTATCGTTCAAAGCTCTGATTTACGCTTTAATCCTGCACGTAGACATTCCGAGTTTAAACAATAAATAAACGCTTTAACGAACGTAGATCTCATTCTGCATTTAATAATATTACGTCACAAAATTATAACAGTAACTATACTGTCTCAGTATCATTGAATCGTTGAATTAAAATTCATTCCAGGGAGATTATTGAAGAGTACATCACGTTACTTCACAAAGGGCACATGCGTTTTGAATGAAATCTCGTTTTCACACCATAATATGAAATCTCGTGTGGAAGTTACAGTCGAGATGCGCTGAATAGCAATTTCCGTGAAAGAAGAAATTTCACACGCGATTTATCCCCTTGAGTATAATATCTTTGAGGATACAAGGTCCCCGGGTGAGGTGAAGCGTAACTCAACCAAGACAGGTTGCATCGAGATGTTATGGTAAACATACAGCGAAAGATCTCGCACCTAGGTGTGAGATCGGGCTTGGAGTTTGCCTGCGTAAACAGACGGCAGGACGGGGTTTATGTTTCTGTCTCAAATTCCTTACGTGCAGGCGCATAACCCCTTCGAACCTTAATGCACCGTAACGTTTAACGACTTCGTCAAAGAGACTTCCACGGCTCTGTTTGCACGTCGTCTTTTAGAGGACCACGGTACCAAAAGTTTGGCAAGACGATTATCGGCACACGTATAAGCGGTCTGGTTGACGGGAAACGTTAAGATTCTTCTGGGTGTGCCTATTCGCATTTGCGCGCACATGCGTGTCGCCAACTCGCACCGCTGATCCACGCTACTTGAATAAGCAACGATGAAAAACATCGGAACATGCAAAACGTTGCGTTCGCTCAGCTCGTCTGCGGGAGTAGCAAAGTGTGATCGTAAAATGCTTTTCACGTCTAGACGATCTCTCTGTGCACGTATTCTGAAATTTACTTTTGAGAGGACCGTAAACGGCAAAAGACACAATGGACAGGTTGATATTAAGGCTGTCTCTAACAAGACACATTACACCTCCGCAAAAAAAGTGACACAAGAAAAAATGTAGATCTTGATCTTGATCCAAGGCTCCAAAGAATAAATCAAATAAATGTCGAAAGCCATTATTCATTATTTATGGCAGCTAAATTCATTTCGTCAAATCATGTCTAATTTAAATTATTTTTATTTATTTCTATATATCGTTATTATTTCTACTCAATATGTCATTAATTTAACTAAAACTGTATAAAGTAGTGTTAAATAAATTTTACTTATACACAAATATGGAAGTTATTTACTATATAAAACTAAACAATTTAATTATAAAAATGAACATTTTATTGTTTACATTTTAATATACATGAAAGTTAATAACGGGAAAATGTTTTTTAACTTAAAGGATTAGGTTATCATTGATTTTTTTACAACAGTGTATTCACTATTCGTATATAATAGTTAACCGTAAGTTAACTGCATTGCAAATCCAAGTGTGTAAAAAGTGACTTCAACATATGTATGTAAATTAATTTTCTGTAAAAATGACACTGCACGTTTAAATATGTAAATCTATTTTTGCATGTAGAGTATAATGTGTTGTTTTTATACAGAAAACTAATCACGCAATAGTATATTGAGATCACTTTGTGCGCACTTGGATTTGCAGTGTAAAACTAATCACGAATTGCTCGTTTCAAGTTTCAATTTTAAAAGTAATATTAATTTTGATATGTGATGTTATACATATTACACCTCTGAAAACTGCTTTTATTTTAATCTATATTATTTTTCTCGTTTTTTCATGAATTCTTTTCTATTTTCTATTTAAATTCAACATGTATTATATTTAAAGATGGACGAATTTAGAACACAATCCAAACATAAAACTTTGACTTGTGGTCACTTTTTAGCAAAGACGCGATCGATCCCTATTTTAAACTGCGGTGAATTCTTTTTATATAATAATTATAAGGGACAAAAGTATATTTTGCCAAATCATATTTTCATCGGGGGTATCTACTACGATAATGAACTCCTGTACTTCTCGCTAATGCTTGCGGTAACTTACTGATAGAATTGAGTCCGTAGTTGGTATGGTAGACGGATTGCGATGGGCTGTTGATCGGCAGTCCGGAGTTGCCGAGACTAAGGCTGGAACCTAAACTTCCCGTACTTTGTTGACCGAGCTGCCCAAAGCCACTCATCGTCATGCCGCTTTGCAATTGTCCGAGACCTACGGAGCAGAGATGAGCACAATTAAATACACAAGGGGCAATTAATGCAAGGTTATGTGACGTGAGGGGCTCGCAAAGAAATGAAAAGGATCGGTTAGTTATCGGTGTCATTGTCGGTACAACCGTCGGTGAACAACCGTGGGACCGATAATACGCAGTAAGTAATTTCAGCTGTCTCAGTCAGTGGACGGGCAAAATTAAATTAGGAGGCGAGCATCGTCGAGACTTCGTCTACGAGAATTGGTGTTTCCTTCTCATGTTGCTTCTTCTCCCGTTAGCGCGTGAACGAGATGCTAATCATATCGCGCTTTAAATGACATGACGAATCGTGTGCAATTTGCATAGACGTGGATAATGCGTTTCCATTAAATCGCGGACCAAACGTGCCCACGTCTTTGAGCATTTCTTTCTTACGCTTGGGTTCTAATCTCGGCGTTACTTCATCCTTTAAATTAATTTTGTAACATATGTGCATATATGCAAATAAAATGAAAACTTATTTGTAAACCAAGTAGGTTAAAAATCTAAAAGCTTAGATCAAGTGTGGCTAAAATATTGTATATTATAAATTGCCAATAAAAAATAACTACGTTTTGAGAAATCTAAAGTCGATGGTTTCATTGATTTTACATTAAATTATATAAAACTACGAATTTCAGATACGTCGTTAACATTTTGAGAAATATTTAAAGTCACTGGTTTCATTGATTGTACATTAAATTATATAAAATAACTACGAATTTCAAATACGCCGTTGACATTTTGAGAAATATTTCATTGGTTTCATTGATCACTAACGTAAAAGAGTAAAATTTCTTGACGTTTGAACATGATTATTTATTTATGCAACATTTAAATATTCAGACTGTTTCAAAACTATTTGATTTGCAAAAATGAAAGAGATGATTGCAAAAGTGTAACATCGACTTTACTTAATTTCTCTTTCTCTTCTCATTGTCAGTCTTCTATGTATTATCAAAATAAATTATGTAAGTATTTCATAAGACAGCGGATCAATTTAAAATGTCTAATTAGAACATTAATGAAGAAATGAGAAAAATACACAGCAGAGAATAAAATATTACATATTTTCCTCTCTATATATTAGATACTAATCTAACGCATTATATTTATAATTTCGGATTTATAAAACAAAGTAAACAGAAAATAAAAATATAATAATACTATAAAAAATAAATGGTGTGTAAATGTATGTATAAAGTATTTAAGTAACATAGTAATCTATTGACATCGCAGTGTATATTGTATGCGTTACGGAATACCATCGATATTTTATTAGTGATGTGACATACGAAATTGATAGCTGCTACGGAAATAACTGTCGGAGAAGACAGTTTTTTAAAGCATTTGAGGAAATTCTGGTAGAAATCCTCATTTTAAACATGCACGGCGATAAATATCGAGTCCTTGTGAGTAATAATGCAGGCGATCGAAAGAGCGTTTCCTGTCCTGCGGCCAACGTAAGCAGATGGATAATTTCTTTCTTTTTTTTTATCTTACGTTTCTTGGTTACGGTTAGTGATAAGAGCTATTGATATCTGACCTGTCCCCATTCCCCATCTGTCCGCAGGAGTATGAAACATTCCGGTGCACAAGTCGGAGGTCATCGGTCCGAAGGGAGGCAAGCCATGCGACGGTAGCAGCGATCCCGAGGACCGGAACACGTTGGTTGTCTTCTTGCGCTTCTTCCACTTTGCTCGTCGGTTTTGAAACCATACCTACAGACATGCACAAGGAATTGTTATTAATAATCCGTTGAAAAAGAAGTACAATTCTTAAAAATTGCATAAAAAGCGTTTCAATCTTTTCGACGACATTATGTCCCTTGATGTATCTAACAGTGTACCTAACAGAGCATTATTAGATGTAATTGTATTGTTTAAGTTTCAACGCGCTTAGCATAGATCTTTCGTCAAATATTTCTAATACATGCAGAAATAAACAGAACATTTCTAAAATCTTTATTTCTTATTTTACTTTTTTAAAAGAGGTTTTATTGTAATGATATCATTTTTCAAAACGCGAAAGTAAATATATATAATATAATTAAAATAATTTTCACAATTTTTAAAACATTTATTATTTCGAGCCTTTTCTCTCACTTTTTTATTCATTTCTAAATTTTTTACTTCCTTTTACCTTCTGTAAAATTTTCGCTGCTTGGAGATTTTTTGTGATATACTAATGTGTTATGATATATCGGTTAAAAAAACTCTGCTCTAGAAAAAAATATTAGATCTTCGTATTTTTTCACATTCGTTTATATATAAATGACGTTTCTTATATTTTCACCGACGATATCATATCTTTCTTTTTTTATATTAAATTAAAACTAATTAGAAAAATTAAGTCTCATCATCATTGAGCATAAGAAAGTCACTGAGATAATTATTATTCTTTCTACATGACGTTCTTGTTTCTGATCGAAAATCGCATATCCGACAATTTCTTTGCCCACCCTCTCTCTCCCACAATAAAATATTTTTTTCTTAACAGGACGCAACCAAATCCAACCATTGCGACGGTAAGATGTCCCTCGGTGTTACGACAATATCTTCGACCCCACCGCGGGTAGCTATTAGCCGACGTTATGAGCTGTTGATTCTGGCCACGTAGTGGCCCCCTAAGCTGCCGGGGTCCCGGGGACTTGATTTATTGATATCGCATGCAAAGCCCGCCTCTGTGTTCTCCGATATACCTACCCTCGCCCTATCTCGCTACCACCATCATCAGTACCAACGTACCACCACCACCACTACTACACCTGCACCAGTCTCTCTCGCTCTCTCCTGTTCCTATCCTTCTCTGCAGACTATAGTCCCTTTTCTGGCACGGTAGCTCGCACTATAGCCATCTCATATGTGCCTATAAATTAGTACTTTAGTATTAGAGCGCGGGATACGCGCTTGCGCCACCATACGCACCCCGTACATACCGTACGTACCACACATACACATCGCGGTAGCGAGACACACACGAAGAAGAGTAGCACGGTGAAGACCGAGAGAGGTAGCGGTTCGAGGGGTAGGAACACCCTACGCTAACATACGAGGATTATACGAATCTAATTGGATATATGGGATTTACACGCTCCAGTATATATATCTCAGGCATTGCAACGAAGCGATCGTTGCATTCTTGTGCTTAAAGCTCCGTTAATATCTAGCACAAGATTTTGGATCGATTCACGACAGGATGTCAGTATCTTTAATTCATCGCGTGCGGTCGCTCGAAAACTTATCAGTTTTAGCTCATTATTTTTGCAGATATCGTGTATAGCCGTTGTCGTTCTTTATCAGTAAAGCGATCACCATTACTTTCTTCGTTTTTATCGGATTATAATAAGGTAATTTTAACAACTTAAGTTCTTCTACTTCTATAGCATCGTAATGTATGACTACGTAGAATTACTAGTGATTTTAAATATAATAATTCGATGTAAATCTGTTTATATTTATTTTTAATCCTTTCTTGTATACATATACTGACTTATCTTTTTTAATTTTTAATTGAACACGAACAATGATGTCATTTTTGGTTAAATTAACGTTTATCGTTCCGTGATATTTGTCGGAGGCTCGTAACAGCTGGCGGGTCTCTTGACTCTCAAGGATGGACGCTCGTGACGAGAGAATGGCATTAGAGCTGGGTGGTGTTAAGTGCATTGGGACCGAATCAGCGTCTATATATCAGTCAATGGCGTAGAATCGAATGCTCTCCTCCATCTCCATAAAATTCACTACATTCTTATAAAGGTGCATACGTCTACTATTTCGCATATGTAAATGCACATTTCTCTTTGCCGACATATTTGTAGCTTCAGATGCGAATATACGATAAAAAAATTTGGTGAAAAAGTTTGCAAAATTTTTAAGCATTTTATGCTTAATTGTATTATAAAATATAATTTAACGTATTTATCTCCAACGTACATTTAATATTATAGAGATGTTAGATCGCATATTGAAATTGTCATTTTACATAAAATTTTACTATCACAAATATTTATTAGACTAATTTAATGTTTAGTTAAAATTCAAAACTTACATTTATTCATTGCTACTGCATATTAAAAATACATATTTCAATTCTTTATACATTTTAAAATGTTTCCTTTTTTTATAATAAAAAACATTTTAATTTATTCACCGTAAATATTTTTATTCGTCTATTATACGTGTTTCGATGTTTCTGAATAAATAAAAATCAAATAGAATAAATATATTAAATATATGAATAAACATAAACGTATTTGATTCAAATAAAGTACATTTATTAATTTATATTCAAAATGTCTAACAATAAGACAATTAGAATATTATTATAAATGTCTTTCTTTTCAGATTTTAACTTTATTTTTCTTTAATAAAATTGTTTCTTAAAATTTTTTACGTACTTTTTCAGAATTTTCATGTAAATTTCAAAATTTGTGTACAATTTTATAATTTTACTTAAAAAATATCAGATTTTTATACAAATAGAAACGTTTTTTTAAGTTACTGAAAAAGTGTATCTTTTCTAAAATTCTTCATATACGTAAATTTTGAAACATCATAAAATTTTTAACATCTTAAACGCTAGTATAGAAACAATACTGTTAAATTCAATGATGTCAAATCCATTTGAGTTATTTTTACAAGATACCACTGCTTCTATACAATATGTCGTTATTTGACTAAAATAATTGAATTAAAGAATTTAACTTAAGAAATGTATTAAAGTCAAATTTAGTTTATTATTTTCTGATTTTATCTGTTAATACAGACATTATATACTTTGAAATTAACTATATAAATGAATTAATTTATATTTTAGTACACACTTGAAAGTTAAAAATAACAAAATTGTATTTAACTTGGGTTTAGATTACTATTGCTCATTCGATATCTGTTATACAATACATATTTATATTTGGGTATGCACTTGGACAACGCATACCTCAATATAAATATAATATACTAAAATATAACCCAATTTATTGCTTATAATTTTCATAAAAATAAACATACTGTAAACAATTCTTTTTTAAATCGAAATACTAGATATTAAGGAATATAATAGTATTAAACAGATGTATGTATCTTTATTAATAAAGAAGTTATGAATAATTGAAAAATAATTAGAAAGGTATGTCATAACAAACAGATGTTTAAGGATTAAGGTTTCTTATTCAAAAATTTTTAGTGAAAATTTATAAAATCTGAAAAACCTGAGAACTCTTTCAAAAATATCAATAAATAAAAAATATAACAGATTCTTAAAATATTATGAATTTTTTCACCAAAATCAATTTTACATCAGCAGAACATCAAACAATACAAACATCAAAGATATTATACATATAAATATTAAAGATTTTTTTAATTTTTCGATACAATGTTTTTTAGATGTATTCAAAATTTTTAAAATTTTACAAAATATAGTTTCCAACAAAAATATTTTCTAATTTTCTAATTCTCACAAAATATAGATTTTCTTTTTTCAATATATCCATATACCATTTTATTTTAAAATAACTATGACGTGCAGGCTTTTAGCCGCCCTATTCCGGAACCACGTCGTCTTCGCGTCGACGAATCGTCTGCTGACACGTCAATTTCACGGTAGAATTACGATGAAATCGCGACTAAAAGCCCGTGGATAATCCACCGTTACACGCCGATATGGTCCATATAGAAGAAGGAAAAAGCAGAGAGAGACTGCCTACGCGCAAATCGCGCATTATCACGTACACCCTCTAACCCGCGCACAGGTGCATCGAGCCTACACACGTATGGCAGAACTTCCGTTAATTAACACTGGCGGATGCTAATGACTTCTGTTACGAAATAACAACGCACGAACGAGTGCTTTCGATGCGCGTGTCCGATACCGAAAAGCCGTGCAACCTATGACGTTCTTTGTAGGTACATCTGAATCAAAGATTCACATCAGAGAACGATTGAAAATATCATAGCATACAAAGGAATACACAGAATTTCTAATTTATATTTGTAATGAATTTACACGTCTAATATCGTAGATAGATTAAAGCAATTTTGATACATCGAATGATTAGAAATATATAAAGAAAGATTGTGTTCTGTAAAATTTTGAATAATAATTCTTAATGATGAAGAGTAATGACAACTAAAAATACATGAAATCTTCATAATTGCAATCAATCTAATGTGCATGCTTTGAAATACATGACAGTTTTTGGAATCGATCGAAATCGACAGCCTATGCCCCAGAGCTTTATATACTAAAACTCTTAATCAATGTGATTGAAACAGTATAAAAATATGTTGAATTCACTTTATGATGTTATTAATTAAGTTTCAAATTTAGAGCTACCAGAAATGTTATTATTTTATTTTCGATTTTTTCAATATCAATTATATTGCAATGCATTAATAAAGAATTTAATATTAACATATACACCCTTCCACACATACACACACATAATGTAATATGAATATCATAAATATAATTAAATATTAACATACAAAGAAACAACACGTATAATAAATAATATTTAAAAAATCAATATAAAAAAGCATTGATTTGAGTATAATATTTTTTTATTATATGTGACAACAAATATTAACATAAGTTTCATTAGTAAAACTTTTATTTAATATACAGAATATTCCTAAAAAAGGGTCATCGTACTTTAAGTGCATACAGAATAATGAAAGGTAAGACAAAAAGTCCTAATGAACATAGGTTTATTTGC